CTTTCTTTTTCTGTGCCTTTTCTTTACTGACTTTCTTTTCTTTTTCTTTTTTGACCTCGTATTTTAACCTTTTGGAAATTTAATAAAATTTATTAAAAAAATATAAAAAGCAAAATAAAACAGAATAAAAGGGCGCTAAAAATAATATTTATTATTAAACCAATTTACATAGCTGCCCATCTCACCACAGGTGACTCTGGGCAGCATACAACAAAGCTAAAAACAGTCAATAAATACATTAAAAATATAAAAAGCAAAATAAAACAGAATAAAAGGGCGCTAAAAATAATATTTATTATTAAACCAATTTACATAGCTGCCCATCTCACCACAGGTGACTCTGGGCAGAAAACAGTCAATAAATACATTAAAAATATAAAAAGCAAAATAAAACAGAGAATAAAAGGATGTTAAAAATAATATTTATTAAACCAATTTATATAGCTGCCCATTATAGTTAAGTCATGTCTCCATTTGCTCTTAACCATGGCAAATCATTCCTTGACAACAGCCATTTCTTCCCCCGACCTCATGATGGCCTCATCTTATCTCTAGCCTATGAATGTGACCATGTTATGTTAATTTTTCCATTTCCAACATCATCCAACAACAGATAATAGGTATACAAATCATAGAATATATGGGTTAGAATGGAACTTCGGAATCATCTAGTCAAATTTCCTGCTCTGTGGAGAAATCAATAACTATAGCATCTCTGACTTCTCTTCTTCAGGTTAAACATATACAACACCTCTAACTGTTGTTTTCCTTCCAGGCCCCTAATCTTGGCTGTTCTTCACTGGACATGCTCTAGTCTGTTAATATCTTTCCTAAAATATGGTGCCCAGAATTGGATGCAATATTTTAGGTGTAGTCTGAACAATACAGAATAGAAAGGAATAAAATTAAATTATGCCCTGCAGGCAATTTGTTGGTAGTGTAGCTCTTTTAGTACAGGCATTATGTATCCTTATATCATGCACTGACCAATAGTCTTGCCACTGCATTTTTCACTAATTGCAATTTCTATACACTTTTCAAGGGTAGTCCCACATGCATTGCAGTAATCCAGACAAACTGTAGTCAAGACACAGATAACTCTTGCTAAGTCTGACTGGTTCCTGAATGTTCACAATTGGTGCATTAAATGTATTTGTGCAAACAGGTTTCTCCTTGCACCCACTGACAGTTGGGGGTCAGGAGCACTCCCAAACTGTGATCCTGCTCTTTCTAGAGGAGCACAAGGAATCAAGAGCAAGCTTCACCTCAGTCCCAGCTTTTCCTTACCAGCATGCAGCTTTTCCTTACCAGCAGTACCTCCATCTTGTCTGTATTTAATTTCACTCTGTCCTCCCTCATCCAGCCTATTATCAAGATAAGCAACATTTAAGGGGAAAGATTGCTTCCTTGGAATTAAACAGGGAGGGAATAGTAGAGATGGATGTTATCAGCACACATCCATAATAGGGGCCATCCAAAATGGCATAGAAAATTGCATGCAAACTTTCACCTAGTCAATTTTTAAATTATTTTATTTTAATTTTTATTAGGAAGCAAAAAAAAGGGGGGAGAAGTTGAAAAATCACGATATTTTAGCTATGAGATTTTGTTCAAAGTCTATCACAAGACAGAATTTGCAGACTGGTGCATTACGTTTTGTTGGTATAAAATTACACCCAGCATTCTGTAACAACCAGGATGTTCGAGGTATACACAGCTCGGAAAACACAAAGGCAATTAGGCCTAATCTGCCTCCTATTGGAGGCAAGGTATAAAGAAGAAAAAGAATTACAGTAAAGCAATGGGGTTAGTCAAGATGATTTTGCTTCGGAGTGGACGCTCCTAATTCTCATAAGTCAACCATTAAAAGCAACAGAGAGGAGCAAAAGAGACGAGGAGAATGTATTACGGGAAACAACCTAATTTCATTATAAATTGCGATGACTACACTAAGCCAACCCTCGATAAAGGAGAGAAACCATTTTTAAAAGGGGGGAGGAAAGGCAAAGGAAGACGGATGGAAATGATAGGTTGAGCTAACGAAATGAAAAATTAGACTGGTCCAATTCAGAATCAATCAAGAAAGAACCTTTTAGTTCCTTGAGAACAGTGTTTCTTAAAGGTTTTTCTCTCAGGACCCCTTCCCACTTTTAAAAATTATGGAGGACCCCAAAAGAGCTTTTGTTTGTATAGGTTATATTTATCGATATTTACCGAATTAAAAATTAAAATTGATGCAGTCACTGCCGCTACCGCTTCTCACGTTTTACGGGGTTTTAACATTATTTTTCACCATGGGCTGGCAAATAATTTTTATTTCACTTTAAAAAACACTGCTTTAGAACTAACCCATTTTAATAGTATAGGCTTCCGCGCAGCACTGCCCACTTTTTCTAAGAGCTGCAGTGGGAAAATCCCATCTCGGTTACTTTCCCAGTCTTATTCAGCGAATGTGGAGGAACGATGGAAAAAAGTCCCACAGCGAGAATAAGATGAGGGAAAAAATTATGAGAGAGCAGATCGCACATCACATTCGTATCTCTACGTTTCCGGGTAAAAAAATTACCGTTGCAGAACAGCCTCCCCTCCCCTCCCCTGTATCCAATGAGAGTGGGGGGGGTGTGGCCAGCTTCGCTTTCGTGCCCCGAGACTTATATAAGGCCTTGCGAGGGCGAGCGCGCGCCCTTTCGCGTGGACGCTCGGAGCGTGGTAAGTTTGATACGGGCGGGATGAGGGAAGCGGGCCGCCGCCATTTTGTGCGCGGTTCGCCCTCCCTTCTCTCTCTCTCTCTCTCTCCCTTCCCTTCCCGTGAACGCCTTGGCTTGGGTGTCCCCGCTTCTGGGGTGACCTGCGACAGCTATAATGAAGGCAACTTGCACGAGGACGGCACTCCTTTTGGGGGGCCACTCTGGGCCCGGCCCATTCAACCTCCGCTTTTGAGTAGCGCTGAGACGGAGGAGGGTCGAGTCTTGACGAAGGTGCAATGGGTCTTGCTGAAAAAAAAATGGAAGGGCGACGTGCATAGCCGCGGGAGAATGGTTTCCCCTTCCTTGAAGTGTAACCTCTAACTAAAAACGGTCCCCAGGCAAGGCTTTCCCTTCCGCGCCAAAAGCCGCACTGGCGGATGGGAGCACGATTATTGGCGGGAAAAGGAGAGTCCCTCCCGTCCCTTATGCGCGATTCAGCGCTTTTTGCCGCTTGCGGCTGAGTATTAAAAGAAGAGCCACTGGTTTTAAACTCCCCTATTATTCGAGGCTGCCAGGAGCCGGAACACTCGTGAAGCCCTTGACTAAGGCAAGTTGTGAAGATCTGACGTTTTGCAGGAGTTGCTTCAAGGAGAAATATATGTGGCTTTAGAACAGCAAGCCTGAACACTTTAGCCCATTGGAGTGTGGCATATCACTGGTTTAGTGAGCGTGACTTAATGATAAAAAACATGATTTAAATTAGAAAGACGTGGTTTCACTGCTCAGCTCCAACTCAAATTAATGAATAGAGAGAAAAGAATCTGGTTAGGTATTATAGGCATACTTTATTAATAGTTAATGTCAGTTTATAATATTTAAAATGACTATCCTGCACATTTTTGTTTGTACCAGGGTTAGAGGAAGGTCTGAAAGCGTGGCTTGCTTAAGGCCATTTGGTGAGTAATGGAGCAGGTGTCATTTGAACTAGTGATTTTGTGCTGCATAGTTCAGAATGTTTTAACATGCAGTGTTAAATATGCTGGATGCTTTTTGCAGTCTGTAGTTTTTTGGCTGCAAAAGGATGTACTTTGGCAAGAAGGCTAGTCAATTTCTGTTGCCTAGTTCACCTCATGGAGTATTAAAATATTAGAGGTATAAATTCTATGGATTAATTATTTTTTGGAAGTGAATAACATGAAAAGGAAGCCACTTACGTGCCCTCCAGGCTTTTGGGAGAGATTCACTTAGAAGCTAACTAGATTACTTTACTTGGATATTTGTTATTTGATTTTAAAAGCCACCTGTTTTTATTTTCCCAGGAAATATGAGCCTGAAAACTGATGGTGCTGCTGTTACACACAATAAACTCTGTGGTATGTTTCAATCTGAATTTTAATACTAAGATTTGAACACTATTAGATTGTAGGCAACTATTTGTATTTTATGAAGAAGGAAAACATTTATGTGGGATTAGAACCAGCCCGTTGTAATATTGCTATATTTATGTAAAATGCAGTGGATGGTAGAGGCCATTTTGTGAATGAGTGACAACTAAGACTTGCTGTAATACAATTTTTTTTAATTGTACCAGTGCCTTAGAATAATAAAACTGTCAGGGGAATATTCTTGCCTGGATACTTTTGTGAGAAATCTGATTCTTGAAAGAGAACCAATATTCTGATTTAAAAATAGTACTAAGTATCACTTTTTTCCACTTCTCTTTTCTGACTTTCTAAAAACTATTTGTCACCTGTAGCTGAACAATGTATATAAATTCATGCTGAAGCAAACATAACAAACAGCCATAGAGATAAAACATAAATGCATTATAGCTGTGGAGATTTAAAATAATTAAGGGAATTAAAAAGGGTTTTGTCTCATAGGGAAATGTTAGCAAAGTGCCAAGGAGCCTAACATTCCATAACTGGCCAGCTCTGTTTCAGCATGCAGGTTTGCTCAGACCAAGGCACTCAAAATTTATATTTACTTGAATTGAAATAGATGGAAAGAGCTATCCCTTGATACAGTGTCCATAAGCCATCAAGAGCTTAACTGAAACATTCATTGTCTAGAATATATAAAGGCACTTCAAATTTATGTTGGAACGAGGGACATTTTATCATGTTTGGTAGATGTGTAAAAAAGCTAGAAAAATTTGGATTCAAATACGCACTGATTCAGAGGATTTTAAAGATTAATATACAATTGAGGCCAGAGGTTTTTCTTTTGGGATTGATGGACAACAATCAGTTGGAAAAAAGTCATGGTACTTTGCTTTTGTATATAACTGCAGTGAGATTATGGTATGCACAAAGATGGAAAGATTCGGCACTACTCACAATGGAGGAATGGTTGGTGAAGATGATGGAACTTACAGATTATAGAAAGAAGAGAGTTACATTGTAACCATAGAGTAAGGTAAATTTATAATTGTGCTTAAAGCTGCTGTAAAGAAGGTTAGAAGCTAGTTCTTTGTATCTTTTTCTCTTTTTTCATTCCTTGCACGCGCGCGTGCACACACACACACACACATATATATTT